GAAGCTGCAGCAGAGGGAGCCGTGCAGTTTGGCCCCAAGGAACTGTTGGGTTTCACCACCCACCAAGAAGAAGCACAAGGGACTGTTCCCCCCACAGAACCCCCATCCCTCTCCACCCCAGGAGYCCACACCCGTGAGGAAACGCCGGCGCCGGCACAAGAAACACAAACTGATGGAGGAGGAAATGTCCTGACAGCACATGGAATATTGTTCACAAGGAAAGCCCTACCAAGGCCCCATCCCCGCCCCACGGGAGCTCTGGGATGGGTCTCCCTTGGCTGGAAAGAGTGGCTGTAACTCCTTCAGGAACTGCCAGTCCAGGTGTGAAGCAGCTTWACAGGGCTATTTTTTAATTTTCTGTTTTCTCTTGCTCCGCACACCAATGCTTTTACAAGAAATTTTTTAATCCAATGCTGTACAGARTCTTATCCATGAGGGATGCAGTGAATAAATGTGGACTCAACCAGAGCTGGAATAATCCTAAAAAAACATCCTTGAGCATCATTATAACCTTTARCAAAACAGGTAACAGGAAAATTATCCACGAACATGAGAGGTTTATATCCAGAAAGGAGACAGGAGTCCTGTAACTTTATTAGAATAAAGGAAGAGGCCATGGGGCATTTCCATGGTGTCTCAGTTTGAGACAATCRTTTCAGAGAGAAGCATTACAGGATAAATGTTTCCTCTGAAGTGAAAAGTTTGATAATTTTTTTCCACCAATATGAAACAGAAGTTTGGGCAAATGTGAAAAGTAGTTTATTAACAAAACAAGGTGCCCACAGGACCCAGGTAAAAAAAAAAAATTRGTAACTGGTGGATATTTAAAACTGCAGGAACGCACGCCCCTCAATCCCCCACAGCCACTCGGCACGTGGTGTGGAGAAAGATGGCACGGCTCTTGTCCTAGGGAAAAAAGAAAAGGAACAAAAAAAAGTCCACGTGGCTGCTCAGGCCACAGTGGGAAGCTGTTGGTAGTCCTCTCTGTGGATGAAACAGAGGGCTCGGTGTGCATTTCTCTCGCTGGCTTGGCTTCTCCAGAGTCCGGGAGGAGACAGAGCGGCACCCGCGGCTTTTCCCCGCCCATCCCCGGCTGGTGGCGCTTCCCTCCCGGTTCTCGGACCGAAGTCCAGCTGAGCTACCAACAGCCCACGGCTTTTAACTGCCCGCACTGSCTTCCCAGCCATCCCTGCCCYTTCTTCCAGGTCACATTTAAAGGCACAGGCATATTTTGGGCATTTAAAGCAGACGAAATACAGGAATACAGGGTTGGCACAAAATCAACTCGACACATGGGGTCTCTCAAATCGTTTAGAGGATGCAGCCTCCTTTTTATCCCAAGTTCCCAGCCACATTTCTCTCTCTTTCCCCATTGGCTGAGGGACTGGAGAGGTACAGACTGCCCAAATCGCCTAATACAGACCCCCTTCCTAATTCCTTCGCCCCCTTTTTCTTTGTGTCTCTGTTCTTTGTCTCTAAGTCCAGGGATTTAGCAAGGCCTTGGGTCAGTCTGTGTCAAGTAGTGGAATTTCTGTGGAATTCCACTGCTTTTTTCACCTATCAGTGTTTTGCTTTACCTCGCAGCAGGCCCCACAGTTTATATACAAAGACATCTCCCTCTCATTCCTTTCACGGGCTTTTGTTGACTTCTTCAATTCATAATGAGAAGTAGGACTCAGCCTAAAAACACAAGAGTTTTTCTTCTTCCTTTTTACTCTTGCTAAAGTAATTCCCACTGTGTGCAAATTCGAGCCTGGGTGTGGAGCAGTCATTTCCCCCTGGATGGGCCTGAGGAGCCCGGCAGGATCAGCGGGGGGCAGGGGTGTTGGGCGGGGGTCTGGCCCGTGTTTTGGGTGAGAAGGGGCGGTTTGGGGCGGGACAGAGCAGCCCCGCCGCGCTGTACCCGTGTGCCGTGACGCCATGGCTTCTGGCGGTACCGGAGGGACAGGAAGCGGCTGCGCGGCCGGCCGGAAGTGGRTGCTGGGTGCTGCGTGCCCGGATGTTGTGACGGCTTGTGATTGGCTGTTGGAAGCGAGGCGGGGCGGCGCTGCGGCGGGTGGGGAAGAACCCGGAAGCGCTGAGGGACAGTGGCGGTCGGGCGGCCAGGTCAGGGATGGGCTGCGGACGGGCGGGTCCCGACCTCTGGCGGGGTATCCCTCTGAGCGCGGAGGGCGGCTCCAGGGGTCCAGAATGCGGTGCTGGGGTGTCCCGACCTCTCCCGAGAGAGCGCGCCAGGAGGGCTCCGGCTGGGGGGACCCGAGGGTCTCGGATCGGGTTCTGGTCGGGGTGGTCTGGAATCTTCTCTTTACGGAAGGGGATCTTCTCAGGGCTGTGGAATATTTCCCCTTAGGAAGGAGGATCCTGCTAAGGGGTTTTGGCCACGTGATCTTTCCTCTTAGGACAGGGGATCCCATCAGGTGACTGGCTGTGGGAGAGTTTGCCTTTAGGAAAAGGTATTTTCTTTCCCCTTAGGAAGGGGTATTTTTCCGTTAGGAAGGGGATCTGGCTTGGGGCGCCCCTTGCTCTCTTATGGGGGATGTGAGCTAGTCGGGACTTTGGTTGAGGGGTTCTGTTCTCGTTTTAGAGGGGAAGGCCTGGGTGGAGCTCCTTGGGGAGAGCTTTTTCGGGGTGAGAGGGAGCTGTTGGAACAGTCAGTGGGGTGGGGGCTTCCCAGTTCTCCCTTGCAGAGCAAGGGCTCAGGGGCTTGTGGAGGGCTCTGATTTTAGGGAGGGGTCACCCTCTGTCTTGGTGAGCTGGGGAGCATCTGGAGTTTGGGGGCTRCAGCTCTGGGGGGATGATTTGGGTACTTTTTATTTTGAGGGCTATGGGAGTTAGAGGGAGGGCATTGAGAGGGTGTCAGTGGTGTCTGTTTTCCCATGGGGCAAAGGACTGTGGGATTTTGCAGGAGGGTTATTTTGGGGAGGGGACTGACAGCTCTGGTTTGGAGGAGCAGCTGGACACCCATTCCCAGCAGAAGCACCTGTGGGGTGGGGGGGAAGCTGAAGTCCCCCTCCCTGAGCTGTAGCTGTCACATCCCAAAGGCCTTTGGCATGGAAGCCTCTGGCAAAGCTGAATCCTACTGGACAAGAGACTCACAGAGGCTCCTCCAGGGTGTGGGCTGGGAAACATGGTTCTGCCTGCTACAAGAAGGGGCTCCTGCCTCGGGATAACCCCAAAAGGGCCTCCCCTTCTCTCCCAGGATCCGCAGAGTCCACTAGAGACCTTTCGCTCCCTAAGGAAGGAGCCTCAGTGCATATATGGCATTTGAGATGCTCTAGARTCAGCCCTGCAATGTCAGAGGGATTCTAACCCTTACCTTGGTCCAGGGTGGCTTTTCCAAAGAAAAACTGCTTCTGATATAGGAGGAGGAGTATTGTGGAAGATTTCTGGGCTTGCTGCCCTTCAGTGCTGGTGCTTCCTCCACTGGGAATCCATCAGCTCCTGCCATAGGGCTGTGGTGATTTCCCACATGGATCAGGCCGTGGTGCATTCCTGGGGTGATGGGAGTGCCTCCCACAGCACAGRCAAGAGGAATTGCAAGTGTGCCTAGGCAAGAGCCACTTGGGAAGGGCTTTGTTGGGTAAGGATGGATCTGGGAGGATCCTGGTGCCATCAGGAAAACACTAGAAGGCTGAAACCCCTTATGGAGCTGCTCCTGCTCCTATCTGAGTGAAACTCCTTAGCCATGTCACTCCAAACTGGTGACCAGAACTGGGTTTGTTTTGTGGAGAAACAGCCAGAGTTGTTTTGGCTGGGATTTGGAGGGGTCAAAGCTGTCAGAGCTTGAAGCCAGTGTCCCGGGACTGACCTTGAATGTACTGTATCTGGTTTTCAGGTCATRCAAGTGAATATCCAAGTGCAGTGCCCAAAAAGAGCTGAACTTCTCCTGGGTTCCTCCCTCAGGACATATGTTGGCCTATGGATTAAATGCTTTTCTGCTGAGGTGGGGTGATTTCTGTCAAGGAAGAACAATCCTGAGGAAACTGGATGAGGCACTTCAGGATTGTCCAGTGCTAATTCCTGTGGCTGGGCRCTGAACAGGCTTCCCAGGRTTTGGTCGTGCACCTTGCCAGAGCTCCAGGAGTGTTTGGGCAGYGCTCTCAGGGACAGGCTGSGATTGTTGGGGTGTATGTGCRGGGCCAGGGGCTGGACTTGGTGATCCTATAACTCCTTCAAACTCAGCATATTCCCTGCTCCCTGTTCACACTGTTTTTGCTGACCCTGCCTCCCTCCCACCGCAGAGCCTCAGCACAGCCAATGTGTGTCACCATGCCCGGCCACGGCAGCGCCAGCCTCCCGCCCGAGGAGCGCGTCCGGCGGCTGATCCAGGCGGGGAGCAGCGTGGAGGTGAGCGAGGACATCCCCCCGCGGCGCTACTTCCGCTCGGGCGTGGAGATCCTGCGCATGGCCACCGTCTACTGCGAGGAGGGCAACATCGAGCACGCCTTCATCCTCTACAACAAATACATCACGTGAGAGCGGTGTGCCCTGGGGGCTGCGGGGGGTTCTGGGGTTGGGGTGAGTGTTCAGAGTTTCTCCGGACACTGCGGGGCCTTGGTGAGCTGGGAGAACTGCACAACTCTGGGTTCTGGCCAGAGCTCTGCTCCTGGGGGATTTTGGGTCCCACAGCTGGTGGGACTGACCAGAAGATGTGGTAAAGGTGAGAGGCACAAACCCACAGACACAGCTCACCTGTAAAARTTCACAGAATCCATAATCTCAGAATAGTTTAGCTTAGAAATCATYCAGTCCAAGCCCCTGCCCAGAAGGGTCACCTGGAGCAGGTGACCCAGGAACCCATCCAGGTGGGTTTGGAATGTGTCCAGAGAGGGAGACTCCAGACCCTGCCTGGGCAGCTCTTCTGGGACTCTGCCACCCTCTATGGGARGAAGTTCCTTCTCTTGAGGAGGAACTTCTTGTGTTTTAGTTTATGGCCATCAGTCCTTGTCGTGTCACTGGGCACCTATGGAAAGGGTCTGGTACCATCCTCTGATGCACCATTGAGATATTTGTATATATGGAAATGAGATTCCCTTTGGAAGCAGSCTGATCTTGGATTGCTCTGTCCCTCTGGAGACTCCTGTCAGCAGCGGAGGGATTTTGTCTACCTGTAAGTCAGAGTTTTCAGGTGTTTCATCCTAAATTTGCCTCAATTTTTCTCTAGCTTGCTGTGACATCATAGGGCTGGTCAGGGATCCCTGGTTGGGATCTCAGTATCTGGTATTTACCTGAAAGGTTTGAGGCTGGGTTGTGGTTTCTCTAATAAACCACCTTCAGAGGAGAAGCYTGTTTTACTCTGAGGTTACTACAGCCTTTCACAGCAAGGAGATTTACTCCTTTAGGAGCAGGGACCACTTGGGGATTTATTCTTATACCTTCTCTTTATATTATATTTAGGAATATAATCCACGCCCCACAAACACAGCAATGTGCCTGCCACTGTTTTAAGGGATGAAAACCTTGATCCTCAGAAATTATCTCAATGGCACAGTGTCCTGTTCCTGTAGGGTTTTTTCCCTAAATCCTGTCCCTCCTGGTTCTACCCAGTGCCACTGGCATGGTCTCTACTGTGCCCACTCTACCCACTGACCCGCAATATGGTTGGCATCTCCGTGGGTATTTTCACTCCCTGACCCCGTGTGCAGGGTTCCTGCACCTTAAATCCAACACATTTTTCTCTGATTAGTTTTTCTTCCCCTCTTGTACTTCCTGAGCTTTTATGGGCATCTTGGCGAGAGCTGGGAGCTGGGAAGTGTAAAACCTTTGGGAAGATTGCCAGGCCGGTTATGCAGCTGGCGCTGAAGGAGAAACTTTTTAACTAAACAAATGGGCTGCTTCATTGTAGCAGTGAGAGGTGCTGGGTTCTCTTTCCAGCAGCTTTCAAATGCTCTTGGTATTTTCTGCCTGACTACTGGGCTGCCAATAGGGTGGAAAGCCTTTCCTTGGTGGGATTTCTCCAGTGCTGACGAATGTGAGCTCCTACCCTGGATTGTCCAAAAATAGGAACATAATGCCACTGTCATTTCTTCCAATGAAGATGGGAAGCTGAAGCTCAAGCAAGAGGTTTGATGTTTTCTAGGTGTCCTTATCCAGAGAGCAAGAGGAGGCGTTGATAATTAACTGTAGCCTCTCATGGAGGCTCTTCTCTCCCTTTTCTAGGAATGGGACCAGGCTTGGGGAGCTAGGGGTGTTCAGCCTGGAGAAGAGAAGGCTCTGGGGGCATCTTACAGCCCCATCCAGTGCCTAAAGCAGATTATAAAAAGCAGGGGGYGGGACATCTTATACAGACAGAGAGTGTTAGGCCAAGGGGAGATGGTTCAAACAGCCAGAAAGCAGGGTTAGGTGGGRTATTGGGAAGGAATTCCTCCCTGTGAGGGTGGGGAGCCCTTGGCACAGGTTGCCCAGAAAAGCTGTGGCTGCCCCATCCCTGGAAATGCCAGATTRCACAAGGCCTGGAGCAACCTGGRATAGTGGAAGCAGGGGGTGGGACTGGATGAACTTTAAAGTCCTTTCCAATCCAAACCATTCTGGGATTCTATGACTCTTCCCTCACCTGCAGGCAGTGCTGTGGCTGTCCTTTCACAGAGCCTAGCTCCCTCCCAGGGCTATGGCCTTGTGCAGGTGCTTTCTCCTTTGGGAAGGGGAGGATTCCAGCCCTGAGAAGCACAAGAGAGGCTCTTGGCTTGGTGTGTTTGGTGGGAAGGGAGGGCATCATCCCTGGGAGCAAGGTGTGCTACAAGTGGCTTTAGGAGGCTGAATTTCCTGTTATTTATCTTTCCAGCCCTCCCCAAGACTGAGCTCAGGGCCTGAATGATACAGGGAGGTCTTTCATGGCACCTGATTTTGGAAGGCCATTGGCTATGACAGTCTTGTCCAGACATAGAGTAATCCCCAGATCCTCGGGTCCATACCCAGATTCCCATCAAGGAGCAAGTTCCCTTCTGGCCTCCAGCCTCCTGCAAGGTCCAGTGCAGCTCATTTGGCTGCACAGCTCCTCTCTTTTCCATAAGGGAGCAAAGCTTTCTCAGCCTTCAAGGAGGGATGGAAAGCAGCMTGTCCAGAGAAGCTGTGGCTGTCCCATCCCAAGGTCAGGTTGGAAGGGGCTTGGAGCAATGTGGGATAGGTGTCCCTGCCATGGCAGAGGGTGGGACTGGATGATCTTTGAGGTTCCTTCCCACCCAAATTATTGCATGATTCTATAACTAGCTCTAGGACTCTTAATACTTGTCAGCTTGTAAGACTTTCCGTGTTATTGTCCTGAGCAGCAGCTTCTCCATGAGCCAAGTGGGTGTTTTCCTTGAAACACTATCAGGAACACTCAGGTTAATTTTGGTAGGGCTAAGTAAGAAAGAAAAAAATAATAAGACAAAACTTTTCTGTGGTGTTTGAGCTCCTTGATTKGCTTGGATCAGCTCCAGGGACTTGTGAGGGTGTCACAAGGGACTCAAGATCCACCAGTTTGTCCTGGGTGCTGGAGCTGTGCTTAAAAATAGCCCTGGCTGTGGCTGCTCAATGCCAAACAGTTGCTGCTTCATTGGGCTTGGGAGCAAGCAGAAGTTTGAACCAGCCCAGAACTGCTGGCTGTGGGAGCTGCAGGTTTTGGTCTTGCCAAGCCTCAGCAGGGCTGTCAATAAGAAACATAAGCTATTCCTGCTCTTCCTCTCCCCCATCCCAGCCTGCCTCTGCTGCTTTTGTCCTGGAGTTTTCCTCTGGCTACCTGAGCCCTCCTCTCATCCTCTCGCCCACTCTTTCCCCACTTCCTGACTTGTGGAAATCCAGCTGTCTGCTGGTTTTTCCATCCTGTCCAGGCCAGCATCTGCTCTTAATCCTCTTAATTAATCCCTTCCATTTTAATCTATGAGCTGTTGGCAACGCTCAGGGCCTTGTGTCTTCTAAGCACAGTGACCTACTTCACACCCTCAGCTCAGAATAGGGACCTCACTGGGGATTTGGGAGGGAGCAACAGCCTTTTCATGGCTCCAGGTTGTGCCCTGGCTATGCTGATCTTGCATCCTCACCAGGAGCATTTAGGATGGCTAAAAAGTCCTTCCTCATCCCAGGGGACTGAGGGTTTAGAGCAGCTKTGTTTGTTTACTGCACACACAGTGGTTTTCAGAGTGTCTTGCTCTGTGCCCCCTAATTTTTTCTGGCTTGGCTTTGCATGGTTGGTTTGTGCTGCTCTCTGGGGCACAGTCTGGTCCTCTTATTCCCTTATTCTTYGTGCCTGGGCACATGGCTGCTCTCCAAAGGAGCTGGAACATCCTCCTGCAGGTGCAGAGTGGCCAAGAGGCAGGAAGGAGAACAGGAATTTTGGRTTATTCCCAAAGCTTTATGGACACCCAGAGTCAGCAAAGCTCCACTTTCATGAGAGAAGGGCCCAGCTAAGCCCCCCTATGTTCACCCTGAGCAGTCTGTCACCACTGGGGACTTGGCTACAGAATAACTCTGGGTGTCTCAAACCTGGGGATCCTCAGAGAGCTGAGCCACTGTGACCTGCCCTTTGTTTGTGGGATTTTGTCCTTGTTCCAGTGCTTGCAGAACTCTTTCTGCATTTTATCCTGTCCTGCAGAGCTCCATGCAAGTATCTCATTATGGCCTTCCAGTACTTAAAGRAGGCTTAAAAAAAACCAGGAGAGGGACTTTTTGCATGGACAGACAGTGGTAGAACAGGAGGGGTTACAGGAGAGGTTTAGATTGGATGTTARAAATAAATTCTTCCCCATGAGGATGGTGAGGGCCTGGGGTGGAATTCCCAGGGAAGTGGTGSCTGCCCCATCCCTGAAAATGTCCCAKGCCAAGTTGGACCGGSCTTAGAGCARCCTGGGATAGTGGAAGGTGTCCCTGMCCATGGGGGTGGGACTAGATGAGCTTTTTTAAGCCAGCCCATTCTGGGATTCTCTRAAGGGGAAAACAGTTAGCCCAGCTGTAGAGAAACTCTTGATYAACCTGTTCATACTTGTGCTGGCAGCAGGATGATGTTGAGCTCAGTCTTGATTTCCCAGCCCAAAGCCAGGACAGAATTCACCCTCCTGTCTGGAATACCTGAGGTGCTCAGGCTGCAGAGCYCAAAGCTCCCAGTGCAGCAGCTTGGGATGCTGGGAATTTGCTTTTAGCTCACTTGCAAGTTTTCCCTGTCCAAGGTCTGAGTTAACTTCCCCTCGTGCACAAACTCTTTGTGCCCCAGTGCAGAATGACAGTGAGCTTTGAGTCAGCYGAGTCCTTGAGCTTGGGTGGAATCCCAGGATGCTCCCAGGTATTGGCAGATGCCCAAGCACCTTCCTGAATCAATGCTGTGTCCTTGATGTTCTGGACCAACTAATTAATGGCTCTCTTCAAAACAAACGTATTTATTCCTGAGGATCATTTYCAGAGTCCAGGTGGAAGGAAAACTTGTGTGAGGCACTCCTTGGGATCAAATGAGATCTCCTGTGTGCTGTGAAGAGCTCTGGAGGTCATTATGGAATGAAGGTTTTCCTGCAGAAAGACAGACTGTCCTGACAGGAAGCATAGGACTCCAGGGGTTGCCCAAAATGCTACTGACTGTCCTGTGCTTGTCCCTTCCTGTCCTGACTCAGAACTGCAGTTTCTGTCCTGTTTTTTCCAGGCTCTTCATTGAGAAGCTGCCACAGCACCGTGATTACAAAACTGCCGTCATTCCCGAGAAGAGGGAGACGGTCAAAGTAAGTGGGGACACTGCCAAGTCTGGAATGGGAATGTTATCACTGTTATCAGCCTTCAGTTTCCATGGCTTTGGGATGAATGATCCACACAAATGCTGAGAAGCCTTGGCTGGCCAGGCAGTTCTGACCTCTTGGGAGTTCAGATTCTCCAAGAAATCTGCTGGGGGGCTRGAACATGTCCAGAGATGGGAACAAAATTAGGAAAGGCTCTGAAGCATCAGGAGCAGCTGAGGGAGCTGGGAGCATCTAAGCTTGGAGCAAAGGAGGCTCGGGGGGACCTTGTGGCTCTGCACAACTCCATGAGATGAGAGCAAAGGTCCTCATGTTGCACCAGGGAAGGCTTGAGTTCGATATTGGGAAAATTTCTTTCCCAGATACATTGTTCAGTCCTGGTACAGGTTTCCACCATCCCTGAAAGTGTTTTGAAACACTTGGATGTGATGCCTGGGGATATGATTTAGTGGTGGACATGGCAGTACTGGGGGAATGGTTGAACTTAGTGATCTTGGAGGTATTTTCCAACCTAAACAATTCCATGATTCTCTGAGTTAGGCTTTGGGAGATTCTAACTCCATTGCACTTGCACGGGGCTGGCCATGGTGTCCAATTTCCTTCCTGTTGAGCACTGGGGTGTTCTTTCTTTTCCTTTTAAACTCTCTGCTTTTTAAAGACCACATGGTTTTTCCATGTGTGGTGGCTGGATGCTCAAAGTGGTGAATTTCCAGGTAATCCTTAAGARATTTCTCACAGCCACAAGAAGCTACAGCTGCTCTGCTCAGTGTTGACCAGAAGAGGAAAGGACAGCACTGCCGGAGTTCTTGCTTGGTGATTTCAGTGGTGGATTTTGGACTCTTCAGCTAGTCAGATTTTGTTTTTCTTGCCCTGGGGCTGTCCCATTCTGATGCCTGTGTTTTCTCCCCCAGAAACTGAAGGAAGTAGCCTTTCCCCGAGCCGAAGAGCTCAAGGAGGAGCTGTTAAAGAGGTACGCCAAGGACTATGCTAAATACAAGGAGCAGGAGGTGAGTGAGAGGAGACTGGAGGCCTGTGCTCCTCAGGAGACCCTCAGCCTCAAAGGGTTTGGAAGAAGGCAGGTCTCCAGGGCTCCCTGGGTGCTTGGGAATGCCAAGTCTGGGTAGCCCCAACTTGCAGGGCCCAGGCACGTCCCCTGCAGCACAGGACGGGCCTTGCTGTCACTGTGGGTGATTTTCAGAGGCTYTTCCTCATGCATCCCAAGGCAACCTGAGCTGGGGCTGTTTGGTTGGTTTATTCTGTTTGTCCCAACATGACATCCAGGTCTTATGGTCCAGAAACTCAGCATGGGCAAAGATCTAGGGTTCTGTGGGCAAAGCAGACATTTCTGCAGTCAGTTTTGCTATGTACAARTGTGACTTTAGAGACAGGATAGAGGGAAATAAATCCAGGATTGTAATTCTATGGAAGAGGGAGGGTAAAACAGTGGTTTCACTGCCCTTGGTCCAGCTGGCTCTGGATCTGCGTTCTGCAAACTGAAGTTTCCTTGCAGAGAATGCTGTTTGTTGGTGACCTTTTGCAGACATTTAGAARTAACCTGGGGATAGTTGTGGGTCTGCAGAGGCTTCGTGTTCCACSATGGGCCAGTGTCCCCCTCTCTGCTCCTATCCCTTGGCAGATACCTCCTTACAGCAGGAGGAAGAAGAGTAATTTGCACACACTTTGGCTTTGCAGCAGCAGCTGGAAGAGGAGAAGACTCGGGTAGCCCTAATGAAGCAGCAGCAGGCAGAGCAAGAGCAGTTCCATGCCTTTGAAGAGATGATCCGGCAGCAGGAGCTGGAGAAGGAACGCCTGAGGATAGTGCAGGAATTTGGAAAGCCAGAGCCAAGTCCCGAGTCTCTGGATGGACCCCTTGTTCCTGGCGTGGAAAAGCCCCCAACTGATTTAATCCCAAGGGTTCCAGTCTCTCCTGTTCACCCAGCAAGCCCATCAGCAGTGACTATCCCATCCAAACCTCCTGTTGTGGACAGATCTTTGAAGCCCAGTACTTTGGGAAGCACAGAAAACAGTTAGTATCTCTTGGAGCATCCCTTCTTCCCTGGTGAGGCTGAGCAAAACAGACATTTTATCTGGGAGACTCTTGGAATTATCTGATCATGACTCCRTGCCTCTGAGGGGTTTGCTCTTCTAAGTCACTAGATATGATCCAGTGAACACTGATAGTGTTGGAGAGAGCTGTCTTCTCTTGGGAATGCACCCTCCATGCTTTTCCAGTCGGTCTCTCTGCTCTTCCAGAATCTGCAGCCTATTTGCCTTTCCTTGATCCAAATTCTTGTTGGAGATTGGGGTTTAGTTCCTGGCTGGACTGACTGAATCCTCCTCCTGACCAAATTCTACTAAGTATMGTTCTAAAATACTGATTCAAACTTTTCAGATGGCTGGGTCTTGCCCAATGACACATCCTGCTTTAAAGAACATTTTTTAAGTGTGTGTGGTTTCATTTTTGCTAATGAAATACTCCTTTTGATACCCTGAGAAAGGATTCTTCTTGTCTCTATGTCTCTCTCTGTTCTGAAAGAGGTGGTGCCTGTCCTTTATGAAGTATTAGAGTGACATATTTCTCTGTGCCTGCTAGTGGAAGGGGCATTTATCTTCCCAGATGGATTTTCTCAGTTTCATCCATTGATATCTTGCCCTGAGGGATCATTCCTCCAGTATTCCTGACTCTTTGYTCACTGTGCTCCCACTCTCCCCACAGATGCAGGTGTGGATGCCCTGCGCCAGGTCATTGTCCCCAGGGAGCTGTGCCAAAAATTCCTGCAGCTGGCTGATGCCAACACAGTGCGGGGTGTGGAGACCTGCGGGATCCTCTGCGGGAAGCTGGTAAGGGGACAGCCCTAATGGAGACCCTGGAAGTGGACAAGCACTACCATAGCTTTGGAAATGCCTCAAGGACCCTGATTTTTCTCCTGGAGCTCTTCAGTGTAGTTTCAAGCTTGCGAGCATTAGGGATGATCTGCTTCTCCCTTTCCTCGTTTTCAGATTAGGATTTCCCCACCTGAGTGAGGTGCCAACCTGCTTCCTCAGCTTCCTCTCTCCTGTTGGTGTCTCTGCTGGGTACATGCCTCAAGCACTGGTGGCATTCCTGGCGATAGGCAGCTCCAGGCACTTGTCCTTTGGGTGTCCCAGCTGGTGATSCTCATGCAGACAAGGCTGACAGGACACTGTTCTCCCCCAGAGTTTGTGTGCCCAGATTTCATTGGCAGCTCTATCCCATCTGCCCCGAGCCACTCACAGAAGTTTGCTTTGAAATGAAGTTGTTTGATGTAGCAACTTCTTGCAGTCCAGCTGCTTCCAGACACTGGGGATTGTTTAGGGATGAGGCATCATCCCCTYTTGAGTGGAGAGCTTASTTTGGGGGGTGTCCAGGATTTCTCYGAGCTCCTGTGGGTGCTCTGTACAGCAGGGAGAATGAAACAGGAAGAGAACCCTGCAACTCCTTTGTCGGTAACGTGGAGCTGCACTTACAGATGGGTGATGGATGCATCCATGGGCTTGGGAAATTCTCTCATGTCGAGGGGGTAACATCCTCCTGTGCTGCCACTGCCTTGCAGATGAGGAATGAGTTCACCGTCACACACGTCATCATCCCCAAGCAGCTGGGAGGCCCTGATTCCTGCACCACTGAGAATGAGGAGGAGCTTTTCATCATCCAGGACCAGCATGGCCTCGTCACACTGGGCTGGATCCATGTGAGTCTCCTTCCTCTGGCACTTCCCAACAGGCCTGGCCTCCAGCCCGRAGGGGAAGGGGTGGTGGAGAAGGGCTGGAGGAGAAGTTACTGGAGGAGATCGTGGGGAATGGACAGCAGCCTTCRGTTGGGTTTCTGCCTCTGGTTACATTTCTGCCTCTGGTGCAGTCTCATTCACTACTCTGATGGAGAAATCCAGGCCTGGTTTATGTTTGGGTTCCTTCCTAAAGCATCAGGCCCTTTGAAAGGGAGGGAGGAAAGGTTTAGGTGAGATAYTGGGAAGGARTTCTTCCCTGTGAGGGTGATAAGGCCCTGGCACAGGTTGCCCAGAGAAGCTAAGGCTGCCCCATCCCTGGAAGTGTCCAAGACCTGGTTGGACGGGGCTTGGAGCACCCTGGGATAGTGAAAGGTGTCCCTGCCCATGGCAGGRGGTGGGACTGGATGAGCTTKAAGGTCCCTTTGAACCCAACCAGTCTGGGATTCTRTGGAAGTGGGATCTTAGATATGCAGCTCATGYTTCCTCCAGCTAAAAACTGACTCCAGTGGCACTGTGGGGCCATCCCAAGCTCTCCTCCTAGAAGGACACATCTTCCATGCTGTATCCCTGTGCAGTTCTGCATTCCAGGCAGCAGTGGGATGTGCCAGTTGCAGACTCCTCCCTGGCTGCCCCGCTGTCCCCATGGAGCCTTTGGCAGTCAGATCCATGCCAAGCAAAACGTTTGGAGCTGCTGAGTAATCTCTCGAAAGCAGCAGCTGCCCTGAAGGCTTAGACAAGGAAATGCTGCTGCTCCAAGTGCCTGGTCCTTGCAGGGTGGCTGCTCCACGGCCACCTCTGCAGTGACAGCCCTGCCACATTGGTGGATCCTCCAGAATTCCTTTGACCCTTCTGCTGGTCTTGGAAAAACAAAAAAAAAAAAAAAAACCAGCAAAAGAAGCAAGAGCTTTCAGCAGGAGTTAAGGTGTGAAATCCAGCTGTCAGCAGGAGTTGGGTGAGGTGGTAGCTGTCAGAGATTGTACAGCCCTCCATGGAATATGATATCCTGAAGTGCTGTGACACCATGGGATGTGCTGAGCCCCAGGAGCTGCACTTCAGAAATGTGTGAAGTGCCCTGCAAGGCACAAGTGCCCTGCAAGGACGTGTCTTAAAGGTGTGATTTTTCATGGGATGTGACAGGAATGTAGAGCTCCTCTGGTATGTAACTCCAAATAGAAAACAGGAGCACATGTTTTAAGGACAGTCCAAGAAAAAGGGGCAATGAGAGAGCTGGAAGGGACTTTCAGTAAGAGCAGGGAATGATCTGAGAGCAAGGGGGAATGGCTTCCCACTGCCTGAGGGCAGGGTTAGATRGGATAATGGGAAGAAATTCTTCCCTCTTAGTGGGATGAGGCTCTGGCACAGGTTGTCCAGAGCAGCTGTGGCAGAGCAGCTGTGGCTGCTCCGTCCCTGGAGGTGTCCAAGGTCACATTGGGCAGGGCTTGGAGCACTCTGGATAGTGGAAGGTGTCCCTGCCCATGGCACGACATGGAGATGTGTGGTCTTTAAGATCCCTCCAACCTAAACCATTCCATGAATTACACTCTCAGTTTGCAGGTGTGCCCCCTGYGCCTGGAGGAGCTGTCTCCTCTGTCAGAAGATTCTCTTGGCAGACACGATCCCTTGGGACCAGTTTTCCAAGCCTGTTTTAACTGTTATCCTTGTGTTGCCTGTTTCAGACTCATCCCACACAGACAGCCTTCCTGTCTAGCGTGGACCTGCACACCCATTGCTCCTACCAGATGATGCTGCCAGAGTCCATCGCTATYGTGTGTTCTCCCAAATACCAGGAGTGAGTCTGGATTCCAGGAATCTGTATGTGGGGTGGGGAAGGCTTTTCCCCTCTGCCCAGGCTGTTTACCACACCCTTCCTCTCTCAGATTCCTGGTGTGGGGATAAAATTTCACATTGCACGTTACTGGAGAGCTCTTGGGAGCTGCTTTGGGGGGCTGGGCAGGGGTTGCCCACCCCTGACAGGAGGCTCAGGGCTGGGGAGAGGAGTTTCCCAGGCACTGGGGAGTCCCACACAGAAGAGTGTCCCTTGGTCTCAATCTCTGCTCCTCCTGGAGATGAGTAGCCCCAAATGTGCTCCTTGGGGCCCAGGGGATGTGGCTGTACCTGCAGAGGTTTGAGCTACAGAGCTCGTGTTTCTTTGGTCAGGACAGGGTTTTTCAAGCTGACAGAGCATGGCCTGGAAGAGATCTCAGCCTGCCGGCAGAAGGGGTTTCACCCACACTCCAAAGACCCCCCTCTCTTCACGGTGAGTCCCCCCAGAAGCCATGGGGTCTGTGAGGTGGAGAGTTGGTGTGTTGGACACTTCACTTGAATTAAATCCATGTTGAGGTGCTGGGCTGTGACCAGAAGGCTCAGCCTGTCCGGTGCTGGTCTCCAATTACCAGAGTGGAGATGCAGGAGCATCYCAAGGTTGGAGATGTGATGAAGAGCTCCTCACTGCAGAAACAGGGCGAGGCAGCAGCAATATGCTGTTTTGGGTGGGGGGTGGGGGGGATGGGGGGTGTGAATGTGTGTTTGGGCCCTGTGTGGCACCGAGCAGGGCCAGCAGTTGGGGCAATCCCAGGAACTGCTCCAAGGGCTGTTCTGGGAAGGGCACTGGCTTCAAGTTGTGTCAGAAGGTAGAGGAGACTCACCTGAGCTGTGGGAACACCTGAGTAATCCCCTGTCCCCTCTTTTCCTCTCTTCCAGACCTGCAATCACGTGTCAATAGTCGAGGGGGATGTGGTCCTGATGGATCTCCGATAAGCCTCTTGCCTTATCCCTTCACAGGAACCATCCACCTTYCTTTAGACCTAGGGAATTTGTTTTCTTCCTCCTGTAGCAGATGTTTTCTACCTTGTAGTGATCCCTYCCCTCCCTTCCCTGTGGTGGAACTGGATCCCTGCCCTCAGTGGGAGCACCTGTGACCTCAGTGCCTGGCATGGGGCTGGCAGATAGGCCCAGGCTCAAGGTGTGGGAAAAAGCTGGGAACTCAGAGACAGAAGCCAACACTAATGCAGTTGTAGAACTCTAATCCATGGTTGAACGGCCTCCTGGAGARGTTCCCTGTGACTTGCTGCAACCGTGAGGTGTGGAAATCTCTTCAAGTGCTTTTGGGACTTGACCARTTTAACCCATGCCCTGTTTTGTCCCTCTTTCTGGGTTGCTTGGTCTCAGCAGAGCTTCCAGGAGCAGATAAATCTTTCCTGAAGTTTAAAATCAAACCTTGCTGATCCCTCTCACGCCCACACGATCTCAGTGCTGCTTCTGCTTCCTGGTACTTGTGTGTCTGCCTGGGGAGGGAAGAGGGTCCAACCTCCTCTGGGATCTCTCAGCATTTCATGGCTGAAGATGCCTGCATGTGGCCCTCCTTTGCACCAGCTGCCTCATCCCAGCAGTGTTTAGGGGTGTCTGGAGATTGTGTCCATTTTGGGGGATCCACCGAYGTTACCATGGAGGAGCTCAGTCTCCTGGCTGCCATCACTGCTCCAAGATGGGATTCCAGCAGCTTTGACCACTTCCATCCTCAAAGATCCCTGTGCCTGATTGTCTGTGTACATCCAAAAGCAGCAGGAAGCCTGTTCCTGCCAAATGCAAGCGCTTCATGACGTCGCWGTTGTGCGCGACAGAGCTGGGACTCTCCTCCGAGGTGCTTTAGTCGGGTGCCAAGCAGAGATTTTCCTTCCCTGTGCTCCCTGCTGAGCCCCAGCCCTCAGCGGGGAGGGAAGCAGCAGCATTCCAAGGTGGAAGGCAGCTGTGCTGAGGGCTGAGTGATCCACATCCCCACATCCCTCTCAGGATGGTCAGCACATGGCTRTGCGGGGAGGGGAAGAGGCTGGAGCTGCCTTCCCACCTGGCATGCAAACATCCGTGTCCTTATGTCGTGTCCTTGTACATCCAGCACCCCGTGGTGTTCCCTTTAACACACATGGATTGGATTATCGAGGCTGGGCCTCCTGTGCCACTTGTTTTCTTTGAGCTCTCTCCGTGGGTTGGGGGCCTAGCTCAGAGGGAATCCATTTCTTTGGGGGTTGGTGTGTTTGTGGCAGCCCCTGCGTGACAAGTGCTGCTCCCATCTTTTCCCCAGTCACATTCTGGAACAGGCTGGCCCCAGGGGTGGGAGGCGAGCGAGGGGCCTTCAGGGCACCTCTGGGARCTCATTTTCAGACCTAATTAATTTAAACCATGCTCAGAAGGGTTTTGCAGTTTCCATGTAGGATTGTTCATCCCACAGCTCTCCACAGCACAGAGCAGCTCTTCACCCTGAGGGCTCCCCCACAGCCCCTTGTGGGGACACAAGGTGGAAAAACACATCTTGCAAAGCAGCAATTCCTTCAGATTGGTTTGGAATATCACAAGGAATTTATCCCAGCTCCYCATCCCTGCAGGTGTCAGGTGTAAACTGGCTCCAGCACCCACTGGGAAGAGGAGCTGGTGGCACATCACTACTCTTGGYTTTCTCAATGACTGAGAAACGTTCCCAGAGAATTTTGCACATTTCTTGGAGCAGGGAGTTCCTCAGGTCAGGGGCCAGCTGCTACCTTCCTCCCAGCGCTGCTCCCTGAGCTCCCTGCTTTTTCATCACATTTTTTCACTACAAGTCCTTGAGTCATGGCTTTGTGGGTCAGTGAATGTCAATGTTCTGGCACTGCTCCCCCATCCCACAAACCCACCCTGGCTCCCCAGCTGTGCTAGATGACTGTTACACCTTAAAATCACCAAAATGAGATTGGCTTCAGGAGAAGCTGAACGCGAATATAAACTATACTTTGCAGGARTGATTTATCTGTAACAATGTGGGTTATGTGTTTTGGGGGGGTTCCTGCAGGCAGGGAGTGATGCTTATCTCCACGTCAGGAGTGGGAATGCATCCAAATCCCTCTCACCATCCCTCTTCTCACGGTTTGTCCATCCTCAGCAGCATCCTGAGATGTTCCAAGCCTGAACATTCCTCCTGAGGGAGGTGCTTAGGGCTGGGGCAGCACTAGGAATTTTGAAATCCAGCGGCAAAGAAGGGATTGCTCCCTCCTCATCCCATGCTCATCCCAGCCTTGCCTGTGCCGTGGGATGCCTGGCGTTCCTGCAAGCATCCCGGGGCCGCCAGCAGCTGGATTGGCTGCAGGGGCCAAACCTTTCCTTTTTAGGCTGCGTTTGGGCTCCCACTTGGGGCTGCGCTGCCGCCGGTCCCGCTCCAAAGCTGCGTGGGCTGGGAGGGTCAGGGATGCCACAGGGATGGGGGAAGCCTGGAGCTGACCTATCCCCAGTAAGTGATGTGTCCTGGAGCTGCTGAGGGGTGGCTGGGGTTGGTGTTTCATGATTTTCACCAGCTTGGGGTCAAGGGTGTCTCTGGGACTTTGTCCTCCTGCCTTGGGTTGGGATGGGATCSTGCCACCGACTCTGTGCAGCCCCTGGCACAGCCGTGCTCCCTCCACATGGAGGAGCTGCTGCCTCCATCAATCCCCTATTCCCACCCCCACTCTGCTGGGTCTGGGGATAATTTCTTTTAAAGGGTTTTTTTTTCAGCATGTCATATATGGCAGCCTTTCCCCTTGCTGACCTCATGTTTGGCAGGGGCCCAGCCAGGCTGGGATGTGAGGTGGCAGCAGGAGCCTGGAGCTGGGGGCTTGGGGGGGTCACCAAGTGCACAGCCAGGGGACATACCCAGCCCCTGTGAGCTGTTTCCCAGGGAAAGGGAATAGCCTGGCAGAGCCATCCATGGGGTTGTTGGAGCTGTGGGGAGACTGCCCGTGCTGGGMGACCCCATGTGCCTGTCCTGCCCTGGGGAGTCAGAGACCAGGTTCTGTTCCCTYCCTCTGGGACCTGGTCATCCATGGGGGATATTCGAGTGTTGGGAGGACACTGTGTCCCTATCCTTGTCTTGCCCTGTGGGGTGACAGCCCAGAGTCCATTCCCTCCCTCTGGAACCATGGGGGACACGGGACCTTTGGGTAGCACCCTGTAGTTCCTTGTCACTGCACCAGTGCCAGGATGTCCCTGCCCTGGGCCCAGCTTGGGATCCTCGGGAGCAGGAGGCAGCCTGGGCCCTCTGTGCCTCAGTTTCTCTCGAGCCCCTGTAGCTCTGGAGAGTGACTCCAGGGCATCTCTCCTGCCTCCCCCGGGTGCTCCGGGAGACTCCCTGATGAGGGCCCGTTGTCCTTAAAAAGGCAGCTGGGAGTTTGGGAGCTGCTGGTTGGCCTCTGCCAGGGCCAGAGGGCTCTGCAGCTCTGCTCCTGCTGCCAAGGCTCCGCTGCAGGGCTGGCGGTGCCTCCGAGGCTGTGTCCGGGCAGGGGGGCTCAGGGACAGCACCCACATTGCCCCTTGGGGCTCTGAGCCCATCCCGCCTCCAAAATCCTCCCAGGAGAGATCAGAGCTGGGTGTACCCGCAGTGGGGATCGGGATTTGGACCCACAACTCCTGTCCTGGCTCAGGTCAGGATTTGGGGAATGAGGGGCTTTGGGATACCAAAAGCCCAAAAATGAGGGTGGAGAAAGAAAATCGCAAGGAGAGACATCTCAGAAGTGCTGGATGCCAGGGATGTGGGGGGAACTGAGGCCAGGAGGAGGCGATGCACCAACCCCGTGCATTTCCAGCGTCTCAGCAATGGCAAATTCCCATCCCAGCTCTGGYGTGTCCCCCACGACAGAGTCCCAACATCCACCTACAGCCAGGTGGGGTTTCTCCACACTTTACCCAGGAACTGGAGTTAGTTCCACCTCCTTTTTCTGAGCCTGTCGCTTATAAGGACTTGTGTCTCACTTGTTTATCAGAGCAGAGCCTAAAAGGAACGGGCTCACAACTGGGCTGTCGCCTCCCAAGCATCTCTACATACATTTTCCTACAATAATTAACTGTCCTGGGTCCTACCACTAGCCCAAGGTCAATTTAATGAAATAAAACACCTTATATGGCCATATGGCCAACACACCATCACTGAGCCTATTTAGGGTCTTTGTTTAGAGAGGATCCGCCTCTGAGGTTCCACGGGCTCACTGGTATTTATACCCACGACACATCGGGACTTGGTCCCAGAGGAAAGGAGCTCTCGCCTCTGCGGTGAGTACTGCCCTGCCCAGCCCTGCTTCCCTTTTTCCTTGGAGGAGAGCAGGAAGGAAAAACACCCATGGGGGTTTCAGGGTGGCCCAGCATTTATGGGGTGGCCCCAGCCCAGCTCGGTTTGCATGGCACAGAGAGGGTGCCAGCCCTGCCACAACCCCACAGCTGGGGCCTCCATGGAAGTGATGAGAGCTGGGCTGAGGCCAGAACAGGTGCTCTTCCACAAATTCCTGTGATTTGTGGTTTTTTGCTTTTTGGGCTCTTGCAAGGTTTTGCCTGYTTCCCTCTGGATTCAGAGCGCATCCTCTGGTGCAGGGGGCACCCCCTGGGAAGGGCTATTTTTTCCCCCATTTTTGGGAGTGGATGCAAGGACAGAGCAGCGAGAGGCTGCTGAGAGAACTGGATGAGAGGGCATCAGCTGCTACCCCGCTGGCCACTTTTGGGGAGCACCAGCAGGGCATGGCAACACCGGAGCTCCCTAGGGAGCATGGGCAGGACGCTTTGGCACCACTTTTGGGCACCGYCTGGAGAAGGATGGAGAAGCAGCATCAGCGTGGAGCAGCACCCATGGGAAACAAGCATCTCCCCCCTCCCAGCATGGCTGCACTGGGGTCAGACTATCTCTGGACATGGCCCACGGAGGATTTTGCAGGGCTGCCCATCCCCAAGGACTCCAACCCTTCCAACCCAAAGCTGGACGCAGTGGTGTGGGATAAATCCTGTTCTCCACCCACCATTTAACGCCACTTTCCCCCCTCGCCACAGCTTTATCCCCAGGTCCCCCTGACCACCGAGCGCTCCCAGCCCCACCATGTGTGAGGAGGAAACCACTGCGCTGGTCTGCGACAACGGCTCAGGCCTCTGCAAGGCCGGCTTTGCGGGTGACGATGCCCCTCGTGCTGTCTTCCCCTCCATTGTGGGGCGGCCCCGGCACCAGGTGGGTACCCAGGGGACCAAGGGCAGTCCCCACCCTGCTCTAATCACCAAAATGTGGCTAACGAGGCCCCTCTTGCCGGTGTTAGGGTGTCATGGTGGGCATGGGGCAGAAGGACAGCTACGTGGGCGATGAGGCACAGAGCAAGAGGGGTATCCTCACACTCAAGTACCCCATTGAGCACGGCATCATCACCAACTGGGATGACATGGAGAAGGTGAGATTCCTCCAGGAACGGGGAGTGGGTGCTCGCCCTCGCTTTGGTTTGGGGTAAGACCCCAATTCTTTGCCCATCTTAGATCTGGCACCACTCCTTCTACAACGAGCTGCGTGTGGCCCCGGAGGAGCACCCAACTCTGCTCACTGAAGCACCCCTCAATCCCAAGGCCAACCGGGAGAAGATGACCCAGGTAAGGCACTGCAGGACCCCTGGGGATGGGGTTGGACCCTCCAAAACTGCAGGAAGGGCTGGGGGATTAGGGGTTTTGTGGGGTGGAGGAGCAGGGTGGGGTGCCGCTTGGTGCTTGGATAAGGCCAGAGATCCCAGTGGGAGGTTCATTTGCCTGTGTGGCCCCAGAGGACTCTCRGCAGTGCCTGGATCCACAGGATTTGCCACACAAGGCACTGCCCCACCACATGTTCTCCATGCCATGCACAGCCCCACGTGACTGTGCAATGTGGTGACTCGTGTTTCCACGCTCTCCCTTGACCCAAGCTTTCCCACACCATGCTCTGACACACATCCCGTGAGTGCAGCTCAGGGATCCCCATCTTCTTCTCTGCCATGCGCTGACCCACGTGTCCGTGCAATGCAACCATCCACCTATTTTTCTGTTCATTGCAACAATCCCCGTGTTTTTCTATGCAATGCCTTAACCCTGAGAAGGCACAACCCCTGTGGGTCAGGATGGCATGGGCTGGGGACCACTGTGCTTGCCCCTAACCCACTGCCCCTCTCCCTTTCCCTCCCAGATCATGTTCGAAACCTTTAATGTYCCTGCTATGTACGTCGCCATCCAAGCCGTGCTCTCCCTCTATGCCTCCGGCCGCACCACTGGTGAGTAGGGGATAATTTGTGCTGGGGAAGGGGCCAAGGCAGCTTGGAGGGTCCTCTCTCACCTTCCTCCCTTTCCCAGGCATTGTCCTAGACTCCGGGGACGGTGTCACCCACAACGTGCCCATCTACGAGGGCTATGCTCTGCCCCATGCCATCATGCGTCTTGACCTGGCTGGCCGTGACCTCACYGACTACCTCATGAAGATCCTCACCGAGAGGGGCTACTCCTTTGTCACCACTGGTATGGGAACAGGGAGGGAGTGTGGGGAAATGGGGACCCCATGGTGCCACCACAGTGGAGCCGGGTTGAGCCTCTCCCGCCATTGTGTCCTGCAGCCGAGCGGGAAATCGTGCGYGACATCAAGGAGAAGCTCTGCTATGTGGCCCTCGACTTTGAGAACGAGATGGCCACAGCTGCCTCCTCCTCCTCACTGGAGAAGAGCTATGAGCTCCCCGATGGGCAGGTCATCACCATCGGCAACGAGCGCTTCCGCTGCCCTGAGACCCTCTTCCAACCCTCCTTCATCGGTAAGCCCACCCCCAATTCTCCCTGGAGTGGTTGCCCCATCCCTACCAGCAGGCAAACAGCTCCCGTGGGACCCCACAGAGGCATTTTGGGGCTCCCTCAAGTACTTTGGTGGGACAAACCCATAGGTGCCCCCATGACTCTTTTGAGGAGCCCTGAGGAGGCACAGGCTAGGGTCAGGGAGCTGACAGCCCCTTCCCACCTCAGGCATGGAGTCCGCTGGGATCCATGAGACAACCTACAACTCCATCATGAAGTGTGACATCGACATCCGCAAGGACCTGTACGCCAACAACGTCCTGTCCGGTGGCACCACCATGTACCCCGGCATCGCTGACCGCATGCAAAAAGAAATCACTGCGCTGGCTCCCAGCACCATGAAGATCAAAGTAGGTGTTGGAGGAGGGGGCCAAACTGTGGCCCCCRACACCTCAAATCCTCTCCTGGTGTGGGTTTGGGGGGGATAAGAGGGTGCATCCTAAGGGCTCCTGTCTCCACAGATCATTGCCCCGCCAGAGCGGAAGTACTCGGTGTGGATTGGAGGCTCCATCCTGGCCTCGCTCTCCACCTTCCAGCAGATGTGGATCAGCAAACCCGAGTACGACGAGGCCGGACCTTCCATTGTCCACCGAAAATGCTTCTAAGCCCCCTTCCCATCCCGTGGTGGCCACCCATGCCCAGGCTGGGGTGTCGCTCTCCTCCTCGGATCCTGCTGCTCCTCCCCACTGCCCACTGTGCATTAAAAAACCTTTTCTCCAGGCTCTGCACCTTTCCTGGGAGATGTGGGGGGTGGGGAGGGCTACATGGGGACAGAGGGTAATGGGGAAAAGGGTGGGGGAGCTCCAACCTCATGTTTGTACCCATGTTGTTCTGCTGATGACCTCAACTGTGCCTTGATGCCCCAGCCCCATGTCAATGCCCTTGACCTCATATTGATGACCCCAGCCCTGTGCTGATGGCCTCAATCCCATGTTGATGCCCCTGACCCTTTGCTGATGCCTTCAGCCATTRATACCCTCAGCATCACAATGGTGTCCCCATCCCTATATTGATGCCATCCTTGGGGGGATGCCCCTGACCCTGAGCTGGTGACCCCAACCCCATGTTGGAGACCCCAATGTTGTTTTGGTGACCTCAACCCCAYGTTGATGTCCTTGGCCTCATGCTGGTATCCCCAACCCCATATTGGTGCCCCTGACCCCATGTTGGGAACCCCAACACTATGTTGATGTCTTTGACACTGTGTTGGAGACCCCAACCCTGTGGACTGGTGACCCAAATCCCACTTCGATGYYGCTGACGCCGTGTTGGKAMCCCCAAMCCCACCCTGGGGCCCCCACCCCCCTTTTTTGTGCCCTGCCCTCTCTCCCCTAACCCCCACACTGCCTGGACGTGCTGTGCACAGATTATTCTTTGCATGAATTACCATTTGGCCCTCAGCCCCCCTGTTCCGCACCCCCGCCGCTGTTTCCGCCCTCCCGCCTTCCCCCCCGCCCACTTCCCGCGCGTTGACGTCACGGGGCGGTGGCGCGCGCCGCTCATTACCATGTCATTAGCATATGACGCGGGAAGGCGGAAGCGGTGGCGGGATGGGGCGGTGTGGGGTCGCCCTACGCCTGGCCCTGGAGGGGAATATCGGTACCGGAGGGGACACGGGGACCGAGGGAGCGGCGGGCCCTTGCAGGCGGGGCGCGGGCGCGGGGGCGGGAGCGGTGGGTTCGGGGCACGATGGAGGGGGGCGGCGCAGGCTGGAGCATCGCGGGTGCGAGTTAATTAATGTCTGAAATTAATTATCACTGCTAGAGGGGACACCCCAAAACCCCGCTCTCCTGGGAGATGGGGGAGGACACCCAGCCTTGTCTCTGGTTGCTGGAATTGGGATTGAGGGACACCCAGGCTCACCCAACATTCCCATGAGCCGGAATGGGGGGATACCCAAACTCACCCCAGCTCCCCAGGGGTCAGAGTGGAGTCACCCAGGCTTACCCCACATTCCCAGGAGCCAGGGTGGGRGTGACTCAAGCTTACCCCGTGTTCCTGGGAGCCAGAACAGGGGGGCTCCCATTCCAGGTGCTTGTGTGTGGAGACATGCAGGCTCACGAAGGGGGACACCCAGGYCTACCCCATGTTCCCACGATTTGGRGTGGGGGACACCCAGGCTCTCTTCATGTTCCCTGTAGCCAGAGCTGGAGGACACCCAGGCTCATCCTATATTCCTGAAAGCTGGGATGGAGACACATCCAGGATCACCCCAGGATTCCAAGATTTGGAGCAGGGGGACACCCTGTGTTACTTACCCGGTGTTACTGGGATTTGGAGGGGTTGGAACACCCCACATTCCCAGAGCCCAGAGCTGGRGGACACCCAGGCTCACCCCACTTTCCCTGGAGCCTTAATGGGAAGAACACCTGGGCTCACCCTGCTCTTCCTCCACTCTCACAGCTGTGGGGAAATCAACCTTCCTGAAGCTTCTAGGTGCCACCTTCCCAGAGTGGCACCTGGTGACGGAGCCCGTGGCACAGTGGCGCAAGGTGCCAGCTGGCAGCACTGCCCAGGTAACAGCGATTCTGGCTGCACCCTGGCTCCATCGGCACCACACCGGGACACCCTCATCCCCTGCTCTCCCTCCACAGGCATCTGTGGGTTCTGCTAACCTGCTCCAGATGATGTACCAGGAGCCAGCCCGGTGGTCCTACACCTTCCAGACCTTTTCCTGCATCAGCCGGCTGAAGGCAATGCTGGAACCACCAGACAAGGGGCTTCCTGAGACTCCCGCTGCCGTGAGGGTCTTTGAGCGTTCTGTGTTCAGTGACAGGTACCCAGCATCCCAAAAATAGCAGAGAAAGAGGGATGAAGGGAATGGATGGGATAGGTAGTATCAGCAGTACCTGGATTGTGACACTGGGCCCCCAGGGTGAGCAGAGCCACCGTCCCCAGTGACGCCCAGAGCGATGTTTAATTACAGGAATGGGATTCTTGGGTAATTTGGGGGTTCTTCAATGATTTTGGGGGCTGCCTGATCCTCACCCSTGTCTTGTGGTGGTGTGAAGCCATTTGGGTGATGCCATACTGGGTAGGGCTGAACGGTGTCTTGCACTGCATGTGCCTCAAATTAGGGATTTTCACCTCAACCACCTGCAGTTCCTTGTTGGTGCAAAAAGGCTAAAAAAAAAAAAAAAAGTTGTGAAGCCACCTGCATGTGGGGTGTCACAGCTGTCCAGTCCCATCTCTCTATCCCTTCCAGGTATGTCTTTGCCAAGAACCTCTTTGAGGCTGGGCACCTGACGCCTCTGGAATGGGCCATTTACCAGGATTGGCACGACTTCCTGCTGCGGCACCTGGGGCCCCACGCCACCCTCCATGGCTTCCTCTACCTGCGGGCCAGGCCCCAGGTGGGTGCTGGATGCAGCAGGCGACCCGGTCCCCTTGGATCCTTGCAGGCATCTGGAATTGCCAAAATGTTTGGCTTTAATTATAAGTCTCCATCCTGGAGGAGCAGGGCCTGTTCCTTTTCCCATGGGAATGTCAGTRGGAGTTTTGCTGATTCTAGAGTGGATTTTGGGGAAAGGGGGCTGCAGCATCTTCTGGGGTCCCTCCCATGATGCTGCTTTACCTGATATCCGTGTTCTTTCTGTCCCACTGATCTCCCGTTCCCATGCATCCCGTTCTCCCATCTCTCCCRTTATGCCCCCAGACGTGTCTGGAGCGGCTGCGGCGGAGGGCGAGGAGCGAAGAGGGTGGGATCCAGCTGGGATATCTGCAGCAGCTTCATGCCCAGCATGAGCACTGGCTGGTGGACAAGATCACCGAGTGAGTCACAGTTCATCCCCAGCACCTGGATGGCTGCAGCTTTGGGGTGACCCCCAATTTGGGGGTTTGTTATTTTTGGGTTGGGGTCTAATCGCTCCTCTCCTTCCCTCCCTCCTTCAGGATCCACTTTGCTGATGCACAGCATGCTCCTGTCCTGGTGCTGGATGTGGACAAGGACTTCGAGCAYGACGTGGCAATGCAGGGCGTCCTCATGGCACAGGTGGGGTGGCACAGGTGGGGTGGCTTCCTGGTGCTGGGAGTGCCATCAGAGCCATGCTGGCTCTGAGCCTCCACCTCTGCTTCAGTTTTCCGTGGAAAAAATAACTTCCACATCGTGGGTCTGAGATGCTTTAAACCTCAGCCATCCCAGTGCCATTCCTGCACCMTCCCAGGGCCATACCCTGAGTCAGATTCTCCCTGCAGGTGGAGGCCTTTGTGACATCTCTGAGCACTGACACTTTGCTGTCACATCCCARCCCTCTTGGAGCAGGGGCAGGGGCATCATCTGCCTGAAGATTCTGATCCCAAGGACAAGGGACAAGTCCTGATCCCCAGCCTGTTTGTCCTGGGTGAGGGGTGGATTTGTGTTGCTGCTGGAACGGTTTAGAGGTGGATCCTCGGAGGTGCAATCGTGTGATGAGTTTTGGGGGGGAGGGGGACTCCCCTTGCTCTGGTGACCAGGTCATAACTGACGGCCTCCCCATCATTAGGGACCCACAGCTGGGGATGCTCCCTAGGATTTAATRTGCTAGTTGAATCCAATGGAAAAGCTCTGTGTTTAAGTTACACTTAACTCCCACATTTTTTTTATTTTGTATCTAATTTTTTTCCCTTAAATTAAAAAGATATAATTGTCGAGCTCCTCTTTGTCTTGAACCAGGAGAAATGGAGAGTGGGGGTGGCTCTRCAGAGGAAATGACAGGACATTATTCCCCAATTTTGAGGTGTTGTGATGGGGGGAAAAACAGTGCCCTGGGGCTTTCCCAGGCGTGGGTCAGGCTGGGCTGGATTTGGGAGAAAACCAAGGGCATTTGGCACCTGCTGGGAGGGATTGCTGGGGGAGGAATTGGATCTTTAGGTGGACACCGAAAGGAGGGGGGAAATGGTGCTTGGCCTTTGGGGGGCTTAGGGGATGTGAGACCCTGCATAAACAGAGTGGGGGGGGACCTGCCCCAGAGGAAGCAGGGGGTTACTGTGATGGGGGGCTGGGGCTTGTGGTGGGGGGATTTGGGGGGCTGGGGGGAAGGGAAGGGGTTGTGGGGTAGGATATGGAGAGGGGAGCACAGGAGCCAGGCTGCCACCCCCTGGAGTTTTCTCCAGCGACCCTCCAATAACACAAAGCAAGACCTGCACAAGAYGCCACTAATCATCCTAAAAAAGCCACAGAGGAGTCACAGCTGAAGATCCTATAAAAAGAAAGAAAAAAACCAACACGGTAGTGCAATCCCTCTGACAATCCTATGAAAAGAACCTGGTGCACCCCAACATCTAGTGACCCTACAATAATAACCCAGTGCACTGCCAACTACAAAACCCCAAAATAACAACCCAGCGTGCCCCTACACTCAGTGACCCTAACAACAACAACCCTACAACAAACACCCCCACAACCCCCTCCCCAACGTACATTCCCCCTTCTCCCCGGTTCCCCCAAACTCGTCCACCAACTCCGGGGCGCACCCCCACAACCCCCGAGGCTGTAGATGCCCCCCGAGTGCAAAGGCAGCCGAGGGGTGGCTGCGGGCGCTGCCCCGGAGCCCCACGGCCGCCCGGCGGGTCCCCCCGAGCGGGCTCTGCAGAACAAAGGAAGCAGCAGAGCAGGAGCGGCAGCAACAACGTGCGGCAGCTCCGCCGCGAGTCCCCTCGGGGTGCCGGGGACATCCAGAGCCGCCTGCCAACCCCTCTTTGCCGACCCCACCATCCCCCGCCGCCGGGCGTGCGCTCAGCACCGGGGCGAGCCCCCCTAGCCCCCGTTCCCAAGGGGGGCCGTACCCCTTTTTTTCCGGTAACGCTCTTTATATCTAAATTTGGGGAGGAGGGGAGGTCTAAAGTTGCCGGTGCGTGGCTGAAGTTATGAAGTTGTGCTAAGATGCGCGGTTTTGAGTGGGAAAAGCGAAAAGGAAAACGGAGTTGGAAAAATAAGGGTGGGATTAGAAGCGGGGAGGCAGCACCCCGTTTTGGGGGCAGTTTKGGGGCAGGAGGGGTGGGGAGTCAGCGGGGCCGCCCCCGGGCTGGAATCAGCGTGGAAATTAAAAGTCGGGGTGACTCGCGGCTTCCTTCGGTTCTGTCCCCACAGAACTCGCCGGTGTCCCCAGGGCGGGGGACACGGTGACTGCGGGATGTCCCTGTCGATGGACACCCAGCAGCCCGGGCCAGCCGCCGCTTCCCCCCCGGCGGGTGGGAGCCCAGAAATCTAAGGCTGATCCCGGGATGGAGATGGATAGGCACGAGGTGAGTGACCCCCAGCTCCCCCAAACCCATCCATTCCCCTCCTCCCCATACCTTCACCTTTTCGGGCTGATTTGTGGCCCCTTTGCGGCGGTTGTAAAGTCACCGTGACTTGGAGGGGGGGGATCATCGGAGTGGGCAGGGAAAGCCCCTTCTTGGTTGGTGGATGGGTTTATTTTTTTAAGGGTATTTCCGTGGGAAATGGGACTTTCTGCTGCCTGAAAGGTTACTTTGTTGCCTTAAACCTCCACAAAATTTCAGTTCATCCCTGGAGCGTCCCCAAAACACCACCGTACAATGGGTGGGAGCAGGACTTTGGAACAAAATCCACCTTGAAACTGAACTCCTTGGAATTTCTTGGCCAGAAAGAGCAAAACGCTCACAGAACCCACCCGGGTGCTGTCGGGGGGGAGTTCCCCAAAAATAAAGGGGTGGCAAAGAAGGGGAAGATAGAGACATGCCCAGGGGGAGCATCTTGGAGTTAACAAGTTGTGGCACTTTCTCCACCAAAAATTCTAACGCCTCCCTTCAGCACTTCTGGTTTTACCGGCTGGGGTGGTTGTAACCAGGATCTCTCGCCTTGTGCCTGTCATGCCCACGCAAGAGACAGGCAAAAGAGGGGTGTACTCCAGCTGGGGAGGTCTCCATTGTGGGAGGGATAAATATCTACTTGGGGTTGATTTTTGGTGTTCCACTCTGCCCCAAATTTGCTACTGCTTTGGGTTTTTTTGTGGTATTCAGAGGTGAGCAGCTGTCCTGAGCCTCTGAGTTGTATCTGGCAGGTCTTTCCCTTGGAATGGCTGGTGGGAGGGTGGGATGGGGTGCTGGGGATATTGGGACACGTGGCTCAGCCAGCACTTGGCATACAGTGAGGCAAGGGAAGGACTTTGCCCTTGGCAAAATGCTGGTTAAAACTGATGGTGAGGATTTGTCCCTGGCACTTTTCCAGGGAGGATATGGTGAAAAAGATGATTTATAAGGATGCTGCCAGAGCCAGGGGCAGCAGCAGTGGGATCCCCCAGGAACCCGCTCCAGGCTGGCCCTGGTGGTGCTGGTGGCTGAGAGAAGGGTGTGCCACAATTCCCACGTCCCAGCGTCTTTCCTGGGGTGGTTTGGCAGACAGAGCCAGTTGGGCAGACAGCCTCTTCCCAGCACCAGTTCCACAAGTTTCTCTGGCTCARCCAGGCCCAGGAAAGCTGGTGTCTGCCATTGCACCTCCATTGCTGGAGTTGTGCTCCTGCAGTCTCCCTTGGGAGTTGATTTCTTGGCGATATGTCCCCATCCCTGAGGGCTTGGGAAAGGAGGAGGAGGAGGAGGAGGAGGAGGAGGGAAGATACCAGATGTCAAGGTTTGGCTCCGCTCCCCATCATAGCGCTTTGTCAGACTCTCTCCTGCCCTCCCAGCTCTGGATGTCTTTTCCATTTGCATAACTAATCAACTGGGTCTTGGGGAACCTGCTTGTTACTGTGGAACACCCAGCACAACCTCACTCTGTGCTGGGAGCCACCAGCGTCCACCCAAACCACCCTGGCTGCCAGAGGGAAGGATGCTCCAACCATCTCCCTCAGCTTTGGGGACAAACCCGAAATAAATCCCACAGAAAACTCCATTCCCAGCAGGAATGGTCACACAAAGCCCCTAAAACCCCTTTGTTGGGTGGTGGTGATGGGATGTGGTGCAGCTCGAGGTGTTCCTGGCATGTCCCTGGTGCATTCCTGGCATTTGGAATTGAGAGCCCCTAACTGAATTTGGCAGTCTGTCTCGGGGCCAAGTGTTGGAGATTAGGGATAATCTCATTTAAAGCATTACTAATAAAAGTGACTGAATTTGTCCATCTTGGGGACTTTTCCTGGAGGGTTGAGGTGGGATTTTTTTTTCCCCAGTGTAAAATTGCCCCAAAACATGTCTGGCATCCCCCMAAAAAAGCATCAGGGTGATGGATGGGATGCAGGACCGTCTGGAGTTTGGCTCATTTTCATTCAGCACATCCCACTGTCACCTGCAGGACATCACCCACCTGTCAGGGACTGCCCCCAGATAATCCAAAGGGATTCTCACCGTCTCCATGCCTCTAATGAAAATATTCCCAGTCTTGGCTGTGATGTGAACAGCTAAAAGGACTTGGGATCAAATCTGATGGATGCTGGCGAATGCTGGAGCAGAGGAGGAGGATGGGAGGAAAGAGGCATCTGTCAGAATTAAATCCCTGTTGTGCTTTTTACAGAGAATTTTTGCCCAGCAGAGCCAAGCTGGGCTAGGCAAAGGGGGTTTGCAACCCRGAGCACCGCCATGTGAGGCTGGAAATTTGGGGAAAACCAGTTCCTGGCTCCACTTTATCCTATTTATTCCCATGGGAGTCAGGTTGCTCAGAGCAAAGGTCGGATCCCAGTGGGCTCTTGGCTTATGTGTGGCCTTTTTGGGAAGAGATGAGCTCCAGAGAATACTGCAGGGAAGGAGATGTCAGGTCTGTGCTTGCGCTTCCACCTGCACTCAGGATCCGATTTATCCAAGCCACTGGACATTTAATGGGCTCCTCAGATAAGTCCTTCTGCCACAAATTCCTCTGGAAAACAGTTTTCCAGGGAASAGTTTGGGAATTTTGAGTTTGTAGCTGTTTTGCTGGTGATTTAGCTGAGAACAGACTTGGAAAACTTCAGGCACTCCAGSAGTATCACTTCCAAACCTGGACGGGGAAGTTTTTGGGGTAATTTGCATTTCTGCTCCCCTTTTTCCTTCTCTCTCTCCATTTCCCCCAAAATACTTCTGTACATTGTAGGSAGACGGGCCACCTCCAGCAGGGGTGGGCAAAGCTGGAACTGAATTCCATCAGGACTTTTTCAAGGATCCAGCCCCACCTTAATCCTTTCACYGTCCAATTTCCACTGTTTTTCCCATGGGAAAACACCTGCATTCCCCCCTTTCTTCACCAGGGCCTGGATTTCGGGGAAAAAGGTGCAACCAGACAACATGCATGTTTTTAGAGGCAGATTTAAATGTTTCAAAGGTTTGATGTCCCCAAATKAATTAGGAACCCAAATTAGTGATGTCCCCAAAATTAATGATGTCCCCAATTTGATGAGGGCTCCAAATGATCAATGTTCCCAAATTAACCCAACCAAATTAATGTACAAAAATTAACAAGGTTGCCAGGGGTTTAATGGCAGGAAAATATTGGAGGGATAGGGTGTAAAGAGCGTTTTTGGGGCTCTCCCTGGCTGTTCTCAGGGGGCCTGTGGCTCCCACCYCCCCGTGTGGGCTGATGCCTCAGTTTCCCAGGGGGACAATCAAACAGTGACCAGGGCTTGGGGGTCCTGTTACCCCATTTTGAGGGCTGTGGGGTCATGTCTGTGTTCATGTCCCCCTTGTGTGTCACCTTGTGTCCCTCCCTGTGTCACGGCTGTCCCCTCCTTTCCTTCTCCAGTCTCCCCCAGTGCCCTCTCTCCTGTGTCCTCTGTTCCTCCCCATATCCCCCCGGTGTCCCCGTGTCCCCTCCAGTGTCTTCCTCCGTGTACCCCACGCCACCCCGCCCATGTCCGCGCTCCCCTTGGCTGCTCTTGGGGCTCCTGTGMCTGCTCCCACTCCCCACGTGGGCTGGTGCCTCAGTTTCCCGGGGAGACAATCACACAATGACCGTGGTTTGGGGGTGCTGTTATCCATTTTTGGGGGGTGTGGGGTCGCGTGTCCGTGTCCCCTCCGCGCCGAGTCCGTGTCCGCATCCCCCCCCGTGTCCCCCTCATGTCCCCGCTCCTGCGCAGCGCAGGGAACGGGCGGGCGGTGCCACTGCGTGGGGACGGGGGGGGGGGTTGCGCGTGGGGGGAAAAAGGAGGAGGAGGAAGAAGAAGAAGGAAGAGGAGGAGGAGGAGGAGGAAGGAGGGAAGAAGGGAAGAAGAGGAGGAGGAGGAGAAGAGGGGGAGCAGGGATGCGGCGCTCATTCCCCCCCTCGGTTGCAGCGGGGCGGCGGTGAGGGAGAGCGGAGGAGAGGGAGACAAGATGGCTTCCTCCTGAGGGCCGGCGCCGTGCGGGGCCGGCGGGGGCTGCGGGGGCAGTGCGGGGGCAGCGGCGAGGTAAGCGCACCCCTTCCCCCCCAAAACACCCCCTCTGCACCCCCTCAACACCTCCCCAAAAAATAATCCCCCTTCGGGCTTGCGGGGCGGTGCAGGGGAGGTTAAAGCCGCCCTCCCCCCCACCCCCCCGCGGTGTTGGCGGCCCCGCGGGGCCGCGAGGACAAAGCGGCGGGGCCTGGGGAGGGACACACACCCCGCGCCCCCTCCCCCGTTTGGGGGCTGTTTTCCTTCTTTTATCCCGTTCTATCCAGCWTTGCTTCGTGGCGGGGGTGGTCAGGGGTGGGAGGACGATAAGCCTTAAGGTGCACACCCCCATAGTTATTCCCCCGTGTGCTTCTCGCTTTTATTAATTATTATTTATRCTAATTGATCCCGTCCGTCCCCTAAATGTGCTGAGCTCAGAGGTACGGCGGGTGATGCGAACAAGGGCGATGAGGTTCCCCGCCGTGACGTCACCGTGACRTCACCCGACCGGTGGCAGCTGTCATCCCTCGCCGTGACGAGGACCCGGGGTCCGGTGCAGGCACCCCCCGCTTTTTGTCACGCCGGCAACGACAGGGGCGGGATGGAGGTGGGGAGAAAAAGCAGCTTGTCCTCTTCAGAGGGACAGAGATTTCGGTTATCCCAGTGCCAAGAGCGGCGTGATGTGGTGGCGGGCAGGGCTCCGACCAGCTGCGGGTGCTGGTGGTTCCCAGGGATGTCGCTGAGGTCAGGGGAGAGCATTACCAAAACGTGCGGCCACCCCAAAGTTTGGAGTCGGCGGTGAGCGGCTTTTGGCACCACGTGYTTTTGCAGGGATGGGGATGCTTCAGATCTCGTACCCGGGATGCGCTGGCGCGTGTGCCCGCCAACGCTGTAGCTGCCACTGTAGCGGCGGATGCTGTGCAAAAAAAAAAATCACAGAGCCCGTGGCAGGTGCCGGGGCGGTGGGTTCGGTGC